GAAACTTCTCGATTCACCGATTGGCACTTGAAAAGTACCACCGGTATCATCGGCGCGAAGTGAAATCTCTGAAAGGCTCGCAAGAGGCAAAGTGATCAACATTCGGATAGTTGCTTTCGGAAGAATGCACGAAAAAAAAAAAAAAAAAAAAAAATCACGGATATATCATTGTCTCTGGCTCTACGAGCGTGTGTAACACTGCATATTTCACAAACAATGCCGACGTCGATTATACGACAGCAGCAATTAATATCAATAATACTGGTATAATAACGGTGTCGGTGTTGATGATGGTAATATTGAATTATAGCGGGGAGATATAAGAGACATGTTTAAATCATAACGAAACATCCGTCACTTTGGGAAAACAACAAGAGATTAGTATCCGAGCGTACCGACGTAAGAGCATTTCAGCGCGCGGATGTATTATTCTAAGCAGCCAGAGATGCATATCAACGGACGCAGTCACTCGTCGGTCAATCCGTGCCGAAGGCGGAATTGATATCCGCGAGTCTGAATTACGGATTGTTCCTACATGCTTTCTACACAGCGTTTACGCCTACGATTAGGTGGTGCGTTGAGGTAAAGGAGAATCCGGTGCTGAGCAGAGTACAGCTGCAGCTGTCCCGCTCGCGTAGGATTGACAACGAGTCCGTAAACCGACGATTTACTTAACGATGGGAGACCTACGCTCAAACTGATGTTATCGTTGCGTCCACTGATAATTTCTGTCTGTTTGTGTGTTGCGCCAGCTTGATATGAAAATTTCATACGGCATAAATAATCGAACAAAATCTCTCTTCTTTTGTCGTACATCGTTATAAAAATAGATATTTGTGTGAGATCAATAAAACAGATTTTTTCTAATTATCTAACGTGTTTAAAAATTAGCCAGAGAATCTGGCATCATCCGTTAGCGCTGCATTATTGACAACCACCGGTAATAAAAGTCGCAAATTGCAACGCTAGCTTCGAGTTATCGGGTAAGTTGCAATTTTCTACTGGAAAGGACGATTCGTGATGTCATGATGCATAATTCCTATATTATCAAAGGTATGTAAGGCAGTTTTCACGATACCAGCCTTAGGTAACTCCTCTGAGCCTCCAGCCTCAGGTAACACCATCTGTGTAGAAAGGATGCACAGTGCGTTTCGCCAGGGATAAACTTTGAAGGTGCTGCAAGTTGGTATAACAGGGACCTATATTTCACTCGGAACAGCTCAGAATTATTCGTGATTTACTGTTGTAAGAAAAAAGAGAAAACTGCAATAAATGTATGTTAGCGACCAACTTCCCGCGCTTCTTCGAATATTTCTTTTTATTTCAATGTTTCTGTTGTTGAAGGAGCTATATATGTACGAAGCCTTCCTTTACATATACAAGTGAAATCAAAGATCTTATATCTTATTATTATAAAAGAATATCGATGCGATAAATATAGAGATTAAATTGAAAACAGCCGGCGATGATTTTCTCGATCCTCTTCCCGGACACTCGTGCCAAACAGTTCGGTATCTCACTCTGAAAAGTACATTCGCGCCGAGTGCCTCCTCATCGATGAACTCGCCCATCGATAGCTCGCGAAAATACGGTACACTTACCTGTATACCGCGTCGCATGAGTTCACCGATCGCCTCAGAAAATGGAAAATAAAGGAAGAACCGAACGAAAAAGTCAGGTAAAAAGGAACACAAGTCAGATCAGAAAGTCAAGTTAGAAACGCAAAAGTCAGGAGAGATACATGCACGATCGCAGCTGTGCTGATGATGTGGTGGCTCTCTGGCATGCCCTTACCTCACCGCCCTACACAGATATTAAGGGAAATTTCTTCGTGAAGAAAGAAGCAGGGGATCGAAGGTTGAGAAAATTGTGCGTTTATTAGTGAAGACGATGTTCGAGCAATCTCACCGCTTAATTTCATCGACGATGCCGACGCGAGGCCTCCGGAAGCCGCGTTGAGGTGTCCTAAATGAACGCCCTTCGCAACAAGCCTGTTGAAGACAAGAGAAGAGAGAGCGAATAATACGATCGTCTTCGACGAAGACGCCGACAAAAAATCCATATATTATACACATATATATTATATATCTTGCGACTCCTGCTTATGAATAAAAATCGCAGCGAGTAAGAGCTGATGCAAAAATAAACTGATAATAAAGACAACGGTGATCGTAAATGAGGCAACATCTTGTGTGGGTAATATTCTGGTGTACAATATGAAACATCATGTCAGATCACGATATAAAACGATATAAATCGCCTTTTGCAAGTCTTGAGGGAGAATACCCGGAGCCTAGGTTGTACATTGTTACATCGCTCTATCGACCCCTGTCTCTCGAACTAAACGCAACACACTCGCGCCATTTCCATTGCTCGCGAGATATCTCCGTTATAAGTCTCACGTTCATCTACCGTTTCGGTGTAGCGCGCGAACACGGTGCTATCGTCGATGTCGGATTTAAGATCGACTCGAGATCTCCGCTAATTACTGTCATCTTTCGCTTTTCTTTTCTTTTCTTTTTTTTTATTCCGTCTTTTAGTCTTTCTTTTCCTTCCGCCTGTCGCGGCGGACAGGCCTGTCCTCGCGTCGAACAAAGGATCGAAGATTTAAAAAGAATCGCGTCATTCTATCGCATTCTCTCTTCCATTACTCTTGCACGCTTGCATTCTCTGCACCTATGTGGAACATAGCACATATTTCTGTATATTTATATATATATATATTTTTTCTCTTTATATTTATATATATATATATATATATATATATATATATATATATATATTTATATATTTATATTTATAATTATTTATTACTCCCTCGTTCATTATATCTATCTATATATTATCTACAGGGCAGTAGCCAAATGTTGCAATTCACATTGCGAATGTTATCGCTTGTCCTGTCTCCGCTCTCAACTTCGATTCGACTAGAGAGACGCGCGCACGTGTCGTTCTCGCCCTCCCGATCTCTCGATGATCCCTCGAGAGAGCCCTGTGTGTCGTGCGCCTTTCGCGTGTGTCATGTACGCTTAAATATGCCTAGCTGTCGCGATGCGCGTAATACCGATCTGCATCGCGGGTGGAAATCGCGCGGGCGCGCCGCGATGCGCTCGAACTTCCCCGCTCTTATTTTGGTCGTTTCACAACGCGGCGAGTATCATGTCCGTGTGCCGCCAACGAGCGTCCCAACGAGTCCCCGACGAGTATATCGTTTGTGGAGAGGAATAAGAAAAGAAAGGCGAGAAAATTTCACACGCAGGTGGATGACGTCGAGTCGCTTGAGCTTACGATACGCCGTCGCGGCCTCGGCCGAGCGTCGCGACGCGGAGGACACGCGGTGTTCCACGATGTCCGCGAGATAGGTGCTACCAGGATAATGGCAAATTTACGTTCGACGCACGCACGATGCGTGGATTGACTTGTGCGAGCCGACGCGACTCTAGTGCGCACGCAGCGCGAACGCCGCAGGAAAATATCTTTCGGGCATTGCTCGATATACGGCTTAGGTTTACGTGTGACAGTCGCGCGGCATTCTTGCCCGCTGCCAGATCTAAGCGCTTCGTTATTGTAAGATAATACCTGAGGGGAAAATTTTTCTTCGGCGTTCACGCTGCGTTCGCACCATGTTCGTGACAATCGCGAGAAGCGTGCGGCAATTGTCAGACGTGAAACCGGCCACAGAGAGCATTTGCGCGGGATCTCTCCGGAGTGTGAGAGAGACGATCCCGGAGGGATCGATCGAAAAGCGAGCTGTCTGTGCGAGCAGGCGTCGCGGCGCGGTGACGGTGGAAATCATCTTCGATCGCGGCGAGACGACGATCGAATCGTCGTGGATTTTCTTTATCTTCCACTTGCTTGCTTCTCTAATTCCTCATCCCTTTGCAGCCAATTTTAAAGCTCATACTTACTCAGCGAGATTAGAGATTATTAAGTAATTTCCGCGCCGCGACACCCGGCCGCTTCTCGTCGAACGCCTATCTCGCCCTTTTGTTTTTCGCTTCTCCTTCCCCCCTTTCTTATCCGCAACAACGACGACAGTCTGATTTCGGCGCGACAGTCTCGATTTGGTGCGAGTTCGGGGACACTTGGATATTTGGATGTTCTCTTATCTCGTGTTTAGGCCTCTTCTCCGCACAATCACGCGTTTTTCCGATCGCGTTTCCGCGTGACGGTGACTAGATTCTACACGAGCATATGCGCTTGTGTCAGATGGGTACGCGTGTGTGTGTGCGTGTCTCTGGTATGTATCTGTTTGTGCGAGTCGCACGCGCGCTTGTGTGTGTGTGTGTGCGTGTGTATTTATATGAGGGCGTGTACGTGTACGTATGGTCATATGTGCATTTGTATCTGATGTGTTGACCGAGTGTTGTTTTCTTTGGTGATCGTCTGATCGGTTGCTTGTACGCACGATCGATCTTTGGTGTGTTCTCGCTGGCAGTAGCTCGGTATCCGCCCGCCGTGGGGATGACGCGCCAGGAACGACGAAGAACCCCGTCCATCGAGCCTTTAGTTAAAGTGCTATGGAAGCGAACGCCGAGTCGACGTTCTCGAGACGAAGATGTTCAGTGTACACAGATCCTACGTCCCTCTTTCTCTCTCATTCTCTCATTCCCTTCCTCTCTCTCTCTCTCTCTCTCTCTCTCTCTCTCTCTTCCTCTCCTTCTGTATACATCTCTCTTCTCCTCCCTCGATGTTTTCTCTTATTCACCTGCATAAGTACGTGCGGCTTCGCGGCCTCGTCGTTCTCGAAGAGGAAGACTCGCGGACTACTTGCAATTATAGAAAAGTGCGCGCGATAAAAAACGCGTTACGTCGCGTGACGTCGCGCTGCGTCACGTTACGCTACGTTACGTCACGTTACGTTACGATACGATACGTTACCCTGAAGTTATAGCGGGCTGTAATGACAACGACGACGTAGACTCGATTCTCTCCCAAGCGTGAGTCGTCGCGGAAACGAGAAAGAGAGAGAGAGAGAGAGAGAGAGAGAGAGAGAGAGAGAGAGAGAGAGAGAGAGAGAGAGAGAGAGAGAGAGAGAGTGCGGTCTTTGAGCAGATTAAATCCCTATCTTCGAGGACACGCGACACTCTCGACGAGCTCTGGCTACGCGCTGTTAATATTAAGATCACAGGAGACACAATCGATGGGATGCTAGCGAGTGCATCCTGTGAGAGGAATGAGTATCCGCTTCAGCGAAGCGTCGATTCGCGCAGGAAAGCGTGCATTCTCGCGAGTTTCCGCAGGCGGAGGAGACGTACGAATAGATACACGACGATTATCATCGACGCATCGACCAAAACCGAGCAGCCGCAGTCGTGTGTACTACGTAACAAGCAGCTCCCTTCGTCATACGCACCGCATTCTAACTGGTTGGTCGATCTTTCCCAAGATATAGCGAGCGCGATTGGAATCACAACTTTAGGCGTTGTACGCATACGCGAATTCGATCGATCGAGAAATAGCTCGAGAGAGTCTCTCGTTGAGAGTTCTTTCAATTCTCCGCGAATGCTAAGAGGCCGAGAGGATTGGTTCGACAATTTTGGTTCGCATAAGCTCGCTGAAGTGAAGCAAGCGGTCTGTGTGTGTGTGTGTGTGTGTGTGTGTATGTGTGTATGCGAGTGTGATTCGAATCGAACTCGCTCTCTTAAGCTAAGAAGAGCGAAAACAGAGGAAGAAAGCTCGTAAGCGCTTTGAGTCAATCCTACGCAAGCTTTACTGAGCTACCACGACGACGACGAGAAGTAAGATCGCGAGGCTCGAAGATCGATGGACCGAGGCTGTCCCGCGGACGGCGCGTCATCCCCGAGCGACCGCGTGACCTTTCCTCTGTCTCGGCTACGACCCATTGTCGCGTGCATGCGCTTGCACCGAACTCCTGGAAGTGAAACGCGAGCGATCAACGCGACCGACCGACCGACCGACCGACCGCGATCTTGTCGTACGTTCAGTCCATCATTATCATCATCATCATCATCATTCTCACCACCACTACTACTTAACCACTATCACCATCACCACCACCACTACCACCACCACCATCATCATTATCATCGGTATCGTAATGGCTCGCGTGCCGCGAGTGCCATTACGTGGCCCCGTTGCGCCTTCGTGTGGAAGAGCGAATCACTAAACAAGCTCCTGGCTTCTGGCGAGCCGACCGGCCGACCACCAGGAGGCTCTCCTCGTCCATCCGAGGGGATGACTCGCGGATCCCGCGGGATTAGCGGCTCTCCCCGGATCGTCGCCGCGGCCGCCGTCGTGGCGCAGTTCCGTCGACCGTGTTCGCACGGGCGATTCCTCGCCTCGACGAGGAGGAATGGTCTCGCCGGACGAATCCCCATCGAACGATTCGTGGCCGATCGACACGTGGGTGAAAGGTGCTTGATAATTGATCTTGGTCCGCGCTCCCGACGTTCCTGGACCGTCGACCATACGATTACGTCGCCCCCCTCTTGCCCTTCGACTTGCCGCTGCTGTGCTCTTGGCCGGTGCTCGGGCTCGGCGAGCCGCTGTTCAATCTGGCCACCCTCCGGTAAATCTCGCTGTTGACAAAGCGCGGATACGAGTCCCGGTGCATGAGGGTGTAGATCTGCAGCTGCGCCTCGTCGAAGGTATGCGGCGTCGGCTCCACCATGTTGCGGTTTACGATCTCCCGCACCTGCGAGTCCAGACTCACCTGCAAAGCGAGACGGTGACGGAACAGGTTAAATTCAATCTGCCGGCGCGCGGGCGTGCCGTCGCCGACATCGTCCTTCATTCACAACGGTATATCCTGCGAGTTGTCGCCGTTCGCGTTTCACGTGTCAATCCTACAGGCCGCCATCCGCGTTCATTGGATCTACGTTTCTCTCTGTCAGGTTTGCTTTGGTCACAGCGGGAAGAAAAATAAAGATTGTTCTCTTTTCGCACGATAAGTTATACACGTGAAAATTATCGTGAAGCTGCAGAGCTGCTCGTGTCACGTAAGTAACTTGCTCTCGGGATCACACGCACACACTGATGCGGTTTGGCAGAGCTGCGTGATAAACAGACGGGGTTATTCCACAAAAGTTTACAGTTTCGAATTTCGATGTTGCCTCAGTCAGTGCACTCGCTCACGCCGCGCTGCAAGCGATTTAAGATAAGAAGCTTTCCGAGAATTATAGACCGTGATGTATGCCTCGGGTGCTTTTTGCACGATCTTTTACGTTATCCCATTGAACAATCTTCATGATTGCGATAATACCATGATGGTATGACACGAGTGTACAATTTGTCATAATGTTCGAACGGTAAGAGACGGTTCGTGCATTCGCCCCGTTTGGGCGGCCGAATAGGGCGTTAAAGGGGTCACTGGGTCATCAGGTCAGTGGGTTAATGTAGAAGGAATCAGTCACGCGCATTCGCAATTTTTCTAGAATAAAGTTCTGTATTGGAGAGAAGAAAGAAAAAAGGAGGAGGAAAACGAGAGAGAAAAAAATATTCACGTCGTACATCCGTAGGAGCTGCGTCCCGTAGCTCCTCGCTTGAAACTGCATTTAATTTCTCCCGGCCACCCCTCTAATTCTTACGCTTACGCTCGTCCTCGGGTTTTCACACTCGATAAAATGGCGCAATTAGATAATGCATCCTATAACGTTATCGATTCTGTCGTCAGAGCCGGCGGCTCTCTGAAAGGATAGAAATCGTTTCATGTTGTGAAATGTAAGTGCTTACGAGATGCACCGCGCCGGCCGGTCAAAATAGCAGATACAGATCGCACGTCGTGCTGCGTATGTCATTACATTAATTGAACAGACACAATTACGTATGTCCGTTGCAAACGTGTGACACTCGTATGTATAGTTCTAAGTTGATTTCGCTCCCGGATTATCTGTCGGGCGAATCTACCATAGTAATTTAATGCAATTTCCCCGCGGGGCGATAGACGCGTATAAATTCTTCGCATTAATAACTCGTAAAATATACGGATCAACAGATACGTGAGAGAAATCCACGTGACTGAAGGATGTGAATGCAAATTTGCAAATAACCGTTTGTTCGAAACTCCTCAGGATCAATCTCATAATCCGCATCTGCAGAAAGAAAGAAGAATACTATGTATCGTAAGGGAGACCAGAGAGAGAGAGAGAGAGAGAGAGAGAGGAGAGGGGGGAGAGAGAGCATAGATTCACTGGTAGTTCAACGACGAGCGGCCATACATTCATTTCCAGCGAGTGATTCGAACAAATTGCGATTTACGTTTGTTACGTGTGACAGACGACAGGAGCAAGTGGAGATTACTCACTTCCTTGGGCGAAAGTATGGATATGTAATCCTCGTAAATGTAACGCGCCTTCTCCTCGATCGTCTCGGGATTGCTCTCCCTCTTGAGTTGCTCGCAGGCCAGCCAGAAGGCGATGTTCTCCTCGCTGTACTCGCTTACGAGGAACTCCCTGAAGAGCTTGCGGCCGGCGGCACTCCTCATCAGCTTGTCGAAGGACGAGCCCCAGGCCCGGACCTCCTCCAAGCTGCAGCATTCTACGCTGCCGTCGAGGCCGTCGAGTCCGTCGAGACCGTTACCCGCACCTGCACCCGTGAGATCGCCGACGCCGATGCCGCCGCCGTGGTCGCCGTCGACACCGGCGTTGCCCTTCTTTTTGCCCTGATCGCCCGCTCCGGTGCCCGTCGAGTTACCGCCGACTGCCGCCAAACTGACAGACGACGGACAGCGGACGTTAGAATCGTTGTGTGTGTGCGTGTGTGGCCACTCGTTATCGTTAACGATAACACGCGGCCACGTGTGAGCAGGCTGCGAGATCGCGTTAGACGCGACGGGTCAGCACGGAATTAAGCACGGCTGTCGCGCAAGGTTATTCAGCGCGAATGTATCATTCAATATTTCTAATTTTTCCTCAAGATTACCAAATTTGAGTTAAAATGTGGGAGGATTTCGTTCAAAAGACGACCATCGCGAAATCATTGCGGAGTTCCACTGAGAGAAGGTGCGCTTTCGATTGGAGTTAGCGATGGGCGATCTCGATTCGATTTTCAGAAAATCGATCTTTGACATTTTTGGCTATTCGTCTCTGTCAGATTTGTGTCAGATTTGTCGATAGAGAATCGATTTTCGATTCTACGTCGCAACGTTGCTTATTCATCAATGTTGTTTGTTAAATTTATTGGATAGTATATCAGTTAATATTTTATTTATTGCGAAATGCAATTTTTTTTTGCTTGACTTTTGAACATTTCGAGTACGTCACTTGTTCACATATAAATGTGTAATTTTGCGAGGCAGTTTGATAATATTTGGCTGATCTCAAGCGGCCCTTAAAAATGTTTATTTCTTACACTAGCACCAGCGTATACAATTTCATTGATTGGATCCGTTTCTCCGTTGAAGACGTTACCTGTATGATATCTTTTCAAATTACATCACATCTCTTGTATCAAATATCTCTTTAAAGATAATGCGAATAACGCAGCGGCACGTGTACGTATGAATGGCTCAGAAACTAGACAATGTTATATATTTTTCGTGAGAGAACAAGTAGATATATTATCTAGAATATCATAATGTGACATTTTCAAGAAATTTCTCAAATGAGATATTTCAATAAGCTCTCATAGCAAATACCTCTGGTGAGTATGATAATTACTAAATATTATTTCGACATTATTTTCAAGATGCGTGAATGATTTCTTCGAAAAGTTCCCTTAAAATTTTCATTTTAATATGCGCGTTGTCTGGGATGTCGCTGGATCTTGTTAGATCCAGTACGAGAAAACGAGCATCGTCAGCTTCATAAAATCACAAGAAATATATTTAAATGCGCTCACACAACACACCCACACTGCATTGCATACGACTTTCTTCATCAGATCAGTTTTCAGGAAATCGATTCTTTTAGGTGGATTTTTTTTTAGTAAATCCATTCTAGTTATTTCGATAGAAAGATCGATTTTTTTTTTTCTAAAAGATCGCCCATCACTAATTAAAATTCGCGCTCGAGCGACACGTTGACCCGTCGAGTTTCACCGAACAATACATGTTCGATGCCAATGACCGAATTGAAATTAACCACGGACCATCGTGTCAGTATCATTCGCCAAGATTCGTGAACGCGGTCTAGCTTCGCGTTAATTAGCACGATCGTGCAACGACGTTACCCGATAATTTTCGTTGACGAACAGTCAGCATGACGGGAGGAACGCGAGCGCGAAAGCGATGACAGGCAGCCCAGGATGTGTGTATGTGTGTGCATGTGTGTGGAAATGAATATTAAAGCACTCGGTAGCCTCGGGAAATGAGGAGATCAAATGAGCGGGGAGCGGAGCGGGGAGAGAGATACGATTCCCGTGAACGAGCGCAAATAGTGGGAAATGATAATGGGCAACTAACGATCGTGGGATAGCTAATTTAGATATCTGAGGCCGCGGGCAACGAGACACAAAGCGATGTAAAAAGACGGCATCGAGGTGAATCGAGGAAAAATATTCGTGTCGATAACAGCCGTACAAAACCGGGTCATTGGGAGGCCGATTCTTTGTGCCCGATGACAAGGCTGTTCTATAGCGATTTGCGAGCCACAACTGCGGAGATAAACGGCACTCTCAAAGATTTATTCAAAACTTCACGAAAGTCTTTCTGTCCCTCTCCCGTGACACCGCTCGTCGTCTCTAAAGTTTACGTGTGCTTCCTGGAAGCTATTTTATACAATTAGATGGGCGTCCAAGATCTAATATTTTTCTCACGCTTTTCAGACTACAAACGATGACAGAAGAATGTCACGGGAATAGAGACTTGTTCCTTTTTCTATCTTCTTTTCTACATATATTTTCCATACGCGCACAAAGAACACGAATCTTCCCTGCTGGGAATATACGTTGGGGAAACAAACGTCACGGATTCCTGTCTGATCGATACCGATAAGTGCTGCACGAATCGATACACGACACGTGCAGCAGTCCGGTGAGCACGACGAAACGAGGGGAATCCGCGAACGAAAGGGAAGACACACGGGTCATTGCGTAATATCGACGAGGCAACTATCGGCTGCAGGCGCGTCTCGCGTCATCGGCAAACAGCTAATGCACTTGCGAACTATGAATTTACGGAAAATTCAGTGTGGACTGTATCGACTGTATAAAAATCTCAACATTTACAAATCGTGCATCAACTCCATACGGTTGAAATATAGAGTAGCACACCGCGAACACAGAGCGAACACGCGCACACGCGATTATAAAACGAATCGTCGAATCGGAGAGAAAAATGTTCTTAAAGATTAGCATAATGATAATAATAATGAAACGAGCCAGTCGGTACGTGCCGTACGCGCCGTACGAGCAGCCCACAGCCAACTTTCCCTTTTTGGGTGAAGAATAAAAGGCTACGGGATTTGGCCTTCTTAACAGCCTTAGGGGCTCGCCTCTAAATTCGTTTCTCACCCTGTCAAGACCCTCCCAACGTCCCAACAGTCTTCAACTGAACAATTCTTTTGACAAGGAGCACCGAGAAAGTAGAAATTCTTTTCTTCAAAGAAGGAAAAAACGAAAAAGTCACATGCGTTCCAACACGGCAGGGCTTTGGTCTAATTATACACGAACATGTTATGCACGGCTCATAGAGACCTATTCACCCCACAATGCTCGTGTACCGGGCGAGCTTTTACCACCATCTGCACGATGTTATTCACGTAACGATTCGCGCTGAAATTAAAATGCATTTTTCCGTTGCAAAATGAAAAGCGAAATATGCACCCGAATTCTCGTTGTAAAGTAACACCATAATTTTCGGATTCGGTGAGTTCTGCGATGGGAATGCTTTCATCTTATCTCATCGAGGGAATCGGAGGGATGGCTAATGGGAAAAGGGGGAGGTTAGACGGACAAAGGTGGACAAAGGTACACGTGTATGTGCGCACATGTATTCGGTAAAAGGATGCAGCATCGATCGAGCATCGGTAAATTAGGATGCGACGTCGCGTTTATAGATATGCTTAATGCAATATTTTTTGAAAAAAGCAGGATTGAAAATGTCGTTACTCTCGAGTGAGATTCTAGGCTAGAATAAAATTCTATGGGGAAGAATCTTAAAATCAGAGATGTTTGCTCCTCGTAATTTAAGGAAAAAAAGTACAATGTTGCGCGAGGTGCAGCAAGCATGGACTATTTTGCACAGAACAAAGATCAATTTGTGTAACGGCGTGAGAACTATGTGGGAACTCGTCGACAAGAAACAATGCCCCTTTAGTGCCCTGTTAGTGCCGAAAAACATTTGTCTGGATATTCTACCTCTAGTAATCCTTTAGCCATTCAATGTATAGCCTGCCCTGATGGGTTTCGGCTAAGCGATCGTTAAAAAAAAAAATCATTATAGCGGCTTCCTTCAAAAAATGTTCCTTAAGACGTTATGAGACAGATATAATGGATGACACGGTATAACGTAATAAATAACCATGTGTTTATTGTGTGCGTTTATAGTGGCGAAGCTGTATGCATTGAACAAATCCTACGAATTTCATTGTAGTTAAAAAATTAAATATTCGGTTTCGGTAAATTAAGTTAATAAAGTTTCGATTCTGACGAACCTATGAATAATCGGTCGAAGAAAAATTTCTCGTCAGAGCCTACCCTTTTCCTCCTCTTCTCAGGTAAAAAAAGAAAAAAGAAAAAAGACAGTTACACGAGTGACTTCACATAAACTCAAAGGAACCTTTGGAACTGAAGGTACAGATTTTTAGAATTATTTTTTGTTCACAGTGAAGCATCATTGGGGCAATGATGAAAACAATTGATGTACGGACACGACACGTATAGTCATTAATCTCCACCTCCCAAGGTAGAAAAAAATGCCGTCGCGCACCGGGCGGCATTTCTTTCAAGTCGATTCCCAGCAAAGAAGTGAATAGGTTATTCGCATATAATCTGCAAAGATGGGTTGCGGGAGAAGGACGCGCGGTATGTGCATAACCCCGTTTCTCAGAACTATAATACATGCATTACGATAGCATCGTCAACGGCATAACAAACAAGCGACGCATTAACGCACACAGTCCGTGGCCTGCTTACCATTTATTCCTACTCGTGGCATGAAACACAGAAAGGCAAATATGTAGGCACGTCAGCACGCCAATAAATGGATCATACAAGAGTTTAAGGACAATGGACCGATATCGTTTCATCGTTGGTGAGAGGCTTAGTAGATGAAGCGCGAGCTACGAAAGTATAGCCTTAAGCGATAACGACGGAGATAATAGCGCGTTGCTTTCATCTACTTTATACCGGTGATTACAATGACGGGCTCTTTGTGCCGACTTGCTTTGTCGGCGATTCGACATTACGATTGCGGAGAGAGAGAGAGAGAGAGAGAGAGAGAGAGAGAGAGAGAGAGAGAGAGAGAGAGATTCAAGTTACTCGTCGGACAGCGCGCCTCCGATTCGGAGGTCCACCCATTGTATCCGCGAACGACTTGTCCATTGTCGCGCGAATCGAACAGCATTATGCATAATCGAGTAAAATCGCTTCGCACATCGGCGCGTTGGCCTCTTCCAAGGACGTGAGTTGACTCTCGTGTCGCGCGAGACACGATTGCAGTCTCGAGAGACACGCGACGAAATATCGCAATTCGACTAGGAATCCGTGACGCGACATCAAGACGCCACGGCGGAAAGGCTCATTCATATTTGCGTGAAAAAGAGAGAAGGTAAAAGGAAACAGGCGACGAGAGAGGCCGTGCGAAATGAATTTGTCGCGCACGCGCACGCGGGGATTTCAGTCGTCGGAGAACGGAGCGAAGCTCGTATAACGAGGGGAAAGGTATCATTGATTTTCGCTTGACATTCGTGCCGTGCGAGAGAGCTTTTTCAGGTGCGATCGCGCCGATGTGCGAAGCGCGCGAGCGAGCGGCTATGATCGATAATACCACGAGCAACTACAGCAACAGCACCAGCACAGGCAACAGTTGTCCTTCTTCGACCGGCCCATGAGTCCGGCCGTCTGGCGTTGCTGTTGCTGCGACTGCTGCTGCGACGCAGGCGCCTGTTGCTGTTGCTGCTGCGACTGCTGTTGCTGCTGCTGAGACGATTGCTGCGGATTGCTGTGCTGCATCGTGGACCCCGAGGCCTGGCTTTGGTTCTGTGCACGGAGGCGGCAGCCACCAGCAACACCTTCGCCGCCTGTCCCGTGACTAACGCCGATCCCCATTGCAGTTGCACCGAGTCCACTCGACATCTGCAAGCGACACCCGTCCTCTGAATCTGAGCACCACGTGCGAGCGGCCGTATATCCCGGTGACTGAGAATAGGCTCTACTAAATCAGTAGCTGCCGGAACACAATGGGCCTTTTGCCGGCCTTGTCATCTGTTCGCGGAAGTGAACATTTAGCCACCTTTTTTGGAAGCCGTCGGACACTTCATTAGGTGGTCATTAAGAACGCCATCGTGAAATTCCTTAGCTACTATTAATTACGATAGCAGTATTTATAAACAAGGCTGAATTATGCCCGATAATTATAGCGATATAGTCGTATAACAGAGAGAAGAGGAGCGAGTGAGAGTGAGAGTAATCGGAAATGTTATTCTTTTTATATCTGCACCTCGGTATATTTAATTCACCGTCGAGTCGTGAGAGAGCCGACGTACGGTTTCACGCCACGGCGATGGTGAATATAAAAATTGCGATCCGAGACCAAGAACATCGCCGAGGAAATCACCGGCGAGTGTACTGTGTACGACGGAATATACACACATACACAACGACCTATCCATCCACCCACCCACCCACGCATAAGCCGAGAGAGTCTCGATTTAGTATTCAGCGCGACAATGAAAAACAGAAAAATCAATCATTAAATTCTGATTTAAGCAGTCCATACAAATCCCGGAGTAAACACGACAATCAACTCGCATGCGGCAACGCGATAAAGTCGTTGAGCTTTAATTGAAATAATTTGACCGTTCCGCTGTATCTGCGACAAAATTTAAAAGGGAGAAATCGATAATTTTGCCGTGATGTGAAAAACGGCAGCGGAAGAACGTCATTTCTCTCTGCTTACCCCCCCCCCTCACACACACACACACACACACACACACACGTGCGCGGCTAATGAGAGAGGTGAAAATCGGTTTTCGGTCCCGCGACTCGCGTGTGCGACAAGCATGTGCGCGATCGGAATTTGTTATAACGTCGAGTTCATTAATTAAACGTTCGGATTACTTCGCCGCGCGCGGCCGCCCGTATGTGGATGTAGTATCGCATAAGCCTTCAAAAAGCAGCCAATTAATTCGGATACGATTGTCGTACGCTCAAGTGCACCTATCGATTGGCCCGTATTTTCAGCGCGGCCCGGCGATGGCGATATCGAAGTGAGAGATGCAGCCGGAGATTTATTATTCTTCCGTTCGCCGTTCCGTTCGAGGTCTCCGGTATTTAAAATTCATGATCGCCAGACGGCTGAGCTGACCGATATTGGATTCTCGGAGAAAGTATAAGGAGAGGATTAAACCCTTAATACCATATTCAAGAACGATCTCGATTCGAAATCGGTACATTCCCGGTCTTTTTTCAACGCACTTTTACATCCCGACCGTGCGCGCGCGCTCGTGCGCATAGCGTCCCCGTTTCTGGCGCATAATCGATAATCTAATCCGCTTTCGTGTCGACTTGGTGTATTTTTCGTTTTCTTTCTTTTCCCCTTTTACCCTTTTCCATCATAATTTATGCAACGCCATACGCCACCGGCGAATATCAACGAGAGAATCTACGTGTTGCGATAATTTATTCCGGTCGTTAAAAAATCGACACTCCCCCGAAATACCATAGACGGCGTCCAAGATCAGCTACCGGTCAATCTCTCGTACGCTACCATTGGTGTGCTACATTGCATCCTGCTCCTTGCATCTCTTTCTCATTTGATTCTCACAAATTAGAGCGCGAGAGATTCTCGTGAACGAAACCCGCACGCGGGTTCTATTCCGTTGTGCGAATTTCGCGAAAATAATTCAGCACAGTTGTCCATTCTCTCCCTAGGGTATAAAGGATATTCGCAGAATGGGCTTTGGGCATAAAGCGGCCGTAGTGCGGCCCTTTATTTTTACGCCACGTCGTATATCGATGATCCGCTCTTCGTGCGATAACGACTACATCGGATAGTCGCTTATGCGGGATGTGGGCAGAAGTTGATAAACAGCGAGCACTGGCGTAAAGTGTACATGTGTAACCGACAGTAAACGCGTGTTGGCGCATACGAACGTGCCGCGTGAAGACAAGAGAGAGGAGGGGGGAGGGAGCGGGGGAGGCAACGGTGTAGGGGAAATCGTAGGCACGAAGTAATCGCGATAGGAAATAATCGAAATCGGGCTTGCACGATCGCGACGATATCGCAAAAGCGACCCGTTTAATCGCTCGCGGAGCGATATAAATCAAACGTGGATTCACGCGAGAGCGGCAGCGATTTTGCACGGTCGGGAAATGGAGGCCGGAAATCGAAGAAGCCCGCGCGCGAAAGAAGCGCGTTTAGAGCGGCTGGCTCGTAAAAACACGCCACGCGCCGTTTATACGCGGCGAGAATTCCGCTTCGTAACGCGGTCGTCTCTACGAGAAACGCGTTGGACCGTCGATTACGACAATGTAACGATGCGAATTTCAATAACCTCCGGGAGCAATTTGTTTTGGCAGACATTGTGGAAACAAGCCGTCGCTCGCCGAGAGGAACACCGAGAAATTTGGGAAACACACTTTGGCCCGAACGATTGATCGCGAGCAATGAATTTCGCGTAAATTCGCGGTACATTATTAGCAGCCGAGAGGAGAAGTGCAACAACAATCGTTTTGCATACGGGAGATACGCATTAGCCGCGAGATTGTTTATCGTGGAGAGAGGGAGAGAGAGAGAGAGAGAAGGAGAGAGAGAGAGAGAGAGAGAGAGAGAGAGAGAGAGAGAGAGAGAGAGAGAGAGAGAGAGAGGAATGCGGAAATATATAATTACCAATGACTTCGCAAAGTACGCCATATTATCTTCATCACGTCTATCGCGAACATGATAAGTAAAGGTAGATTAACCTAAAATAAATAAAATAAAAAAAATCAAAAGATATACAGTTCATCAACTATGATTATGGCTTCAAGTTCGCTTCTCTCACGATAATCGTGCAAGGCGGAACGGAATTTGAACAAAACAGTCCGTGTGTGCGTTTGACACGTGGATGATGACTAAAGTCTCGTCGACGGTCTTTTATTGCGCAATTTTATTACGCAATTTCGCCTGTCGATCGCCATCGTGTCCGTTGCGGAAGCAAGCGGGGCGTTTAAAATGAAAACGTTCCGAAACGGCGATAGTGTTTACGCATAGCTACGTGTCAACATGTCAATGGCCCAATGCCGTGTTGGCTTCACGCAGCACGCAATCGCGGAGCACGTGCAGCTGCACCCTATATTCCTCTTCACCTCCTCCCACCTAAAGCAGAGCTTAGTCCGATATCGTTGCAAATCTACTTCGATCGCGGTGCGAGCGTGTACGCGCATGTATTCATTTAAATGGATTTGTTATATCCCTCGTCGTGAACATTACGTAAGCGCTGCCAAAGCTGCAGGTATATCGAGTGGAACGCTAATCAATGGTAACAGAGTCCCTGTTTACTCTATAAACGACAGTGCATCATCGTTATTTCGGAGCTAATTCACAACACGAGCCGATCTTGCTGCGAGATCATCCAAACGCGATCGATTTTCAATACTCAGCTCAATTCTCAATCTCCTTATTTATCTGCAGGAAGGTGCTTCTCCGATGAAGCGCCGAAAACTGATTTATCGCAATGTTACGGAATCCTTCTGTCCGAGATACATGCGAAAAGAAATCGTTACTATTGCGGCTTTGTTTGTCAATACAATTTCAATTCGATTCCCATCAAGAGAAAGGGAGAAAGGGGGGAAGGGGGGGGGAGAGAGAGAGAGAGAGAGAGAGAGAGAGAGAGAGAGAGAGAGAGAGAGAGACAGAGAGAGAGAGAGTAGTGCAGCGCCGACACGCGCGCACACATCGCATACGACGAGGCGTACCATTGCGTTCCAGTTCCACCACATCGCAAAACCAAATTGGTCACTACAGCGGGGAACACCCCGCGGGGAAAAGCAGCGTGACCTCATTAACGCGCCGCGCTGCTGACCTCAGCAAGGCCTCTGCTAAGGCGCGACGCGCGAAACGCAAAAGTGTGTGCGTGAACGCGGATATAAGCTCATTTCCTCCCCGCTCACCTCTATCATGTTCCATGCGTCCGAAAGCGAGTCCAGCTCGCTTCCCGCGTCCTTAGGATCAGCCTAATCGGCGTGTGGCCGGCGGCGCCGAGGCGCGGGGGTGCGGGTGCGGGCACGGCCGCGGGCGCACCGTGTCCGTGTACGAGTGTACCGATACGCGCGGTCGTTCCTTTAGCCCGGTCCTCCCGCGGGACCAGCTCGCCGAGCCTCGCCCGAAGGCCGCATGCTCCCAGCAGGCACCAGAGACCTGAGCCGAACAACGACGGTAGCCAGCGCACGTAAGCCCTCTTCACGGACTGGCGGACGGACACATACGCGCACCACGAGAAGCACGATGTCGTGGTCCCTGGCCTCGCGAGGCAACCGGGCGAGGCACTACGCCGTCGATGGCGATGTCGCGCGACGATACTGAGCAGCAGCAGCAGCAGCAGCAGCAGCAGCAGCAGCAACAACAGCAGCAGCAGCAGCAGCAGCAGCAGCAGCGTCGGCAGCGGCGGCAACGCACCCCGAGCGGAGGGTTACGTCGTCGTCGTCGCGCATGATACTTCGCCCATTTCCCGCCTTCTTCCGTTTTCTGCCGATGGTCCGTCGTTTCCGCGATCCTCCTGGCCGATACCCGCGGTATCACCACCACCTTCCGCCGTCACCCTCTTCTCGCGGCGCCCTCCACCCTCCTGGCAACGGGGTAGTCGAGCGCGCGAATCGACTGGTCGGTCGACCGAGTAGTCGTGATAGAAGAGAGAGCGAGAGAGAGAGAGAGAGAGAAAGGGGAGAAGGAGAGGAAGGTAGAGAAAGAGAGAGAAAGAGAGAGAAGGAGGGGGAGAGAGAGAGAGAGAGAGAGAGAGAGAGAGAGAGAGAGAGAGAGAGAAAGACAGAGAGACGAGAGTGCACGGATGCGAGGCTCACAGAGGCTGAAGGAAATGGGAAGCGGAGATCCTTGTTGTTGCCGATGGCGTCCGTTCTTAAAGATGAGCGCGATAAGATCACGGGGATGATGACGAGGGATACACGACGGGCCTCCGATGGTCAACAAACCAGAAGAGTAATATCCTTGAACCTTACGATGGTGACGACGACGACGGCGACGGTGACGACGACGGCGACGGCGACGACGACGGCGACGACGACAATGACGACGACGGCGACGACGACGACGACGACGACGACGACGACGACGACGACGACGACGACGACGACGACGACGACGACGGCGACGGCGACGGCGACGGCGACGGCGACGATGACGAGGATTTCGCACGCGATCGACCCATTACGTCTCGGTTACAGTTTGTAGGTGCGGCCGCGCCGCGCCGCACTGCACGCCGCGCGTCGTGCCGTGCCACGCTCGCGATCTTCGCGGCCACAGTGCCGATCTTACGTCGCCGCTTTCTTCCTTCGTTGGCGTAGGTGGCTGTACGAGAAACGGCGCTCGATTTCGTCCTCCGTTACGTTTGATGGAATATAAATAGATACTCGCGCCTGTTAGAGAAGCTGGTGCGCAAGGCGCTGGCGCGGCCAGCTCTCAGGCGCCGCTGCTGCCGCCGTCGCCGCCAGTTGGGACCGCTGCTGATGCTGCCGCTGTGTCTGCCTCTGTTGCTGATGTTGATGATCGCGCTGACAGGCACCCGCGGTATTTTGCCGCGTGTAGCTCGCAAGTAGACGAGGGCGGGGGAGGGAGGGTGAGAAAAAGAGAGAGAGAGAGAGAGAGAGAGAGAGAGAAGAGGGAAGAAGGAAGAATGAGATGTAGCAACGAGCGAAAACGACGAGAGGAAATGAAGAGAGAACACTAGAACGTGCGTGTATGCTCGTGATTGGAATAGTAAAGTATAAAGAGAGAAGAACGGGATGAGAGAGATGTTAGAGAGAGGTGAAATGGAGAGTGAAGTAAGTAGAAATAAGAGAAAGAGGAAAAGGGAGAAAGAAGAGCAGAGGAAAAGAGAGAAAGAGAGGGAGAGGGAGAGAGAGAGTGAGAAAGAGAGAGAGAGAGAGAGAGAAAGAGAGTGAGAGAGAGAGAGAGAGAGAGAGAGAGAGAAAAAGGGAAGGGAAGAGGGGGAAGGAGAGTGGAGCGTAAGCGAGTCGATGCGCCGGTTATTGATTGGCAGAAGTTGAGACCAGAGGGAGAGACGAAACCGCGGCGCTGTCACGCCGGCAAAGTAGACTGCCGAAGACTATCTTTATGTTAACTTCTCGTCGATTGATCGCTTGATATCTTCTCGGAAGACTTCCGGTCGAGCGTCGATCTCTCACCTCAACGAGGGTCGATGATACGATAAAGATTCTTAGGAAGATCGGTTTAGGAAGCTTTGGTTTGTACCGATGAGACGATTGTATGGAAGTCGTTGGTCCTGCCTTACGATCACGAATGGCGGCTAATGGCCATACGAATTGGGGACGATTTTGTCGATTTCCACCGAATTTGCCGCCACGACGTTTCTCTCCTTCTCGAGATCTTCGCCGGATTACGAGGGCTCTGCGAGAGCACGCAGGAGAAGCGACGCAGAATCCGTAGACGCGACGTCAGCTCTTTGCGTTTGGTCCTCGTGGAGGGTGCTACCGGGGAGCACAATCCGAGGGAGAGTGTACGCCGCGCGCTTGGACAAAATCGGCGCTCCGATACGGTCGATCCTCGGCTAACGGAGTCGATCCTCGCTCGCGACCGCGCAATCAATCCGCAGCACGTATCACTGATTACGTACACGCGTGTGTCTCCTTTATCATCCTCTCCCTATTTCTCTCCCCCCTCTCTCTCCCTCTCTCTCTCTCCCTCCCTCTCTCTCTCTCTCTCTCTCTCTCTCTCTCTCTCTCTCTCTCTCTCTCTCTCTCTCTCTCCGACTCTCTCACTGTTCGATGCGGCGTACGCGGAGGCGTATTCGGAATTATCACGCGTACTCTCTTCTCGCCATCCGGTTTCCGCGCGGCCGACTCGCCCTCGCTTCACTTTACAACGCGTCTCTCTCGATTATTACGCCCGGACCGACACGGGCGACGATCGAAAGCCTCGAGCGCAAGCTCCGCGACCCGCGAGGAGCTGCCGTCGGCCTCTCGTTCGGAGTTCAGCCAATATGGCGGTTACACGCGCTTACACGGTGCCTTGGCCAGCACTGCCGTCTGTCTCGCGGACGGTTCCAGCGACGCCGACGCGAGGCGCCGCGATGCGAAGCAACCCGGCGCGGACGCTTCTCCGCAGACCGCCGCCACCGCCACCGTCGACGCCGACGCCGGTTCCGCCAACGTCGTAGAACGCCGACGCCAACGCGCGGACGAGCCATCGGCCGGTGTACGAGCGCCGCGACGAAGCTCGTACTCATGATCCTGCGTGCGAATGACCCGACGATGCTCGCGATCCTTCGCTGTTATCATAGCCAGCCAATATATCATTACGACCATGACGCGTCGCGTCGTTCATGATCGTTTGACGCTCCCTGTGAATGATCATGAAATGGAAAAGCCGTGAGTTTCCGGCGAATCCGCAGAACGGGGCAACGCCGCGAGCGGTGCGATCGAGCGAAGGCGACGATATAATGATTTTCCAATGTCGACACACACACACACACACACACACACACACACACACACACACACACACACACCGATAACTGCGATGGCAACATCGACGAGAAAGGAGCGATAACGATGAATCTCAGAAATGACAGTTCATTGCTCGAAAAGCTCACCAGCGATCCTAAATAACGATCCTAAATAACGTCCCACGCGAATTCTTCCGCTGATATTTCTCGGGCTTAACGTCAAGCTTTCGCTCTGCCCATACCGACGACAAGCGTAAACAAGCGTTCTTTCAGCTAATCTAACGCGGCGCTAATGTAATCGAAGAGCGTGGAAAAGAAAATTGCATATCTTTAAGAGAATTATTCGCGATTGTTCGATCCTGTCCGATTTGCCGATCGGCCGCCAACAAATCATTTGCATCAAGTGCAGCACATATTGATCGTCGTTTCAGACCACTGATCCCGAATGACTGAGGGTGGATGCTGCAATTTCGTGAGCCACGGTGGACGAGACAAGGGCGGAAGCTGCGAATAATTTTGCGACGAACCTCTCGCCGGATCTTCGCTCCACGGACATCGTGTGCATAAGCACAGCTAATAATAAGCCGTAATGAACGTCTAATAATAAAAGTACCGGGGGAATTAGACGAAAGCGAAAGTGAAACACGAACGGCGATGAGGACACGCTCTCTCGCGACATAAAGGGCTCGTTCGCCGATTTCGGATATCGTGCCGCGAGAGAAAAATACACACGTATGTGCGAGAGGAGGAGAACGAATGAACGCGGGAATCGCGGGTGCCGCGTCTGAATTTTTATGGAGAGATCTCGCCGTGTATATTTCAGAAATATTCCATTTTCCGCGACAAATCTTCGCCCCCTCCCTCCCGCCCTTGCCGCTCTCCACGGTCTCGGCGTATCGCGCACATCGTTTTAGCGGCTTTTAAGTTAAGTAGTTCCGCGTGTCTGTTTCGCGAGAGCGGAAATTTCTCTCGCGCAAAAATGTACCATCTCTCCTCCTTTTCCGTCCCGCGGCCGCGGATCGATCGCGCGCGCGCGCGCGCGCGCGGCCGCGGTAATACAGACACCATCATTCCTCCGTCAGTTTTTTCCTCTTCGCGCGTTCACGTAAGGAAGACGCGACGCGACGCAACGGGACGCGAGACGACGCGAGAGCGTAAGGGAATGTCTGAACGTCCGGGGATCAATACGTCGTCGTCGACCCGATGCATTCGCCGCTCCTAAATCGCGACTCGGATGCAGCGAGTGCCGCGTGCTCGAACGAATCCTCCCTCCCCCCCTCCCCCCCCACTCTCGCTGTGTCTCGCTGTGTCTCGCTGTCTCTTCCTCTCGCACATTCATGACGCGGTGCGGCCTCCGGCTGGACGATAACGAAGCGACTACTCTAGAAGTTAATTTCGGTGTCGCGTCATGGAACGTTACACATGGTAACGCGTCGGACAAAATGTAAATGAAGCTTGCCAGCGGGTTGCCGCTGATACTCGCCCTCGTACTCGGTAGGGAACCAACCGAGAATGCCGACCAGAACCCAAAGATTCGGGTCGAATGGAAACAGTCGGTCCGACCATTTGCTTGCTTATCGGCCGTAGTGGCCGTCTGATGGTAGGTATTATAAAAGACTTGAACGATGCCTCTTCCAGCTTACACGGACTCATTCGACTTCCATGTTTTTGTGATATTTCATAGCCCCTGATCAGGACGGGGATTGATACGACGGGGAAGAAAGGACATACGTGTCGTACTGGAATATGTGATAGTACAGAACGCATTGATAGCATCTCATAATTCAGGAGAGGCTACGTGGGAAAAAATGTTAGGGGGACAGACCAAAGCGCCCAGAGGAATTGCTTCCGTCCGTGCATGCCACGTGAAAACGACGAGATAATCGATTGGCGATATCGTCTTGCCTACAATTCAAGCTTGACACTCGATCAATAATGAGCGCCGGTATTGGGAACGATATGTTGATAAACAGTACTGATAACGATATGCGGCGAGCGTGGATTGAGTCGTAGGAGCAAATGAGACGTGAGGCGTAACTTTGATTAACAGCAGGGAGGAAAAGGTCATTTATCGTCAGGTACCGTCTTCGCGCTCCACGACGGTTTTACAATCGTAAAATACGAACACAGCAAAAGATTTTCTGACCTGAAGAGAATTCACATTCACGCACATTCGAAATAAAGGAGCGGTATTGGCTTGACGAAAGGTACTCTTCCTGACCTTCCAAGCCCAGCAGACCTGAATTTCTAGACCTTTCCGTCGGGAGGCTCCGTCGAAAAGGGATCTGTAAGGTTCCCCCACCATCCCCTTTCCCCTCGCCCCATACGCCCTCGAAGTTGGCGCTTGGCTACGTCGTGAACACACGTAGACAGACATGCGGGGAGGTTCCAGGGTTGACGAAGATGTGTGCGTCGGTGTGTTCGTGTATGCATGGCAGAATGTGTTATACCCACACCACCATCGTCACAGGCCCATCGTCACCGGCGTTGTATGTGTAGTCGGGAGGGGGGAACAAGGGAGGAGGGAACGAACAGGCTCGACTGCTCCCCCTAATACTGCAGGATTGAATGGGCGAGGAGGGTGGTATTGGGTTCCCTCACCCCACTCCCACCACCCACACGCCTCTGCTCCCAACCCAGCACAGCCACCCACTTCTGTCCGCCTGCCACCCCGCCTGCCCACCCACTTGCCACCCGACTGCCGTCGAGGAAACAACCTGCAACCGAACCAGCATAACGTTTCCTCGAGCAACGATTTTCCTACTTCGTCTGCGACGTCTTCGTGGTCTACGTAGAGATGTAAGTAATTTTACTTTGGTCCCGAAAAGTTTCCCTCTTCTTCGACTCGAAGCATCCCTCCTATTGTTGTGTTTCCTCTAGCCTGAGCGCCTCCGCTGTCCCATCCAGTCTATCTCGGAATCTTGTGGTAAACGTTTCTCTATCTACCTATCTATATATCTGTCTCTTTCACCCGATCACGCTGCGTCACGTTGTTCTCGTAAATATGTGTGACAAAATAGTTATTCCGCGAAATAGGGTGAAAAGCGGACAGGCGGGTGGACCGAGTCGAGGCGAAAGAACCAGAGGGAAAAGACGCGTAACGCCGGTGTGATAATCGGCGCGAACGAGAGCGAGAGGAGAGGCCTCCGCGGCAGTATTGTGTATATCGCGAATAGGCTGTGTGAATACCTATCGAGACGCGCGGAGTATGCGGTATATGTGCGACGACCTCGACGATGTGTTGGCTCGTATTCGATGTGTGTACGTTGAGATAGGTAGAGAGAAGGAGATAGATAGACAGACAGACAGAGAGAGAAAGAGAGAGAGAGAGAGAGAGAGAGAGAGAGAGACAGAGAGAGACAGAGAGAGAGAGAGAGAGAGAACAAGAGCGCGCGTGAGGGCGAGAGCGAGAGAGAGAGAGAGAGAGAAAGACAGGGTACGTGTGTACTCCGGGAGAGCGCGTGTGCCGATGGCGCTCGAGAGCGGGCGCTCGCGATACTCCGCGGTATCGGATTCGATGGCGAGCACGATGACGATGTCGCGGGTGCGCGTGGTCGATAGACCGGCCGTGTTACCGCGGTCTTTACCGTGGCCCTTTTCGCGAAGTGTGCACGAGTACGTAATGGCGAGGCGGCAGCGACGACTACGACACCGACGACGACGACGACGACGACGACGACGATGATGACGACGCGATGGCAATGGCGATGGCAATGGCGATGACGTTGGCAACGGCGGTGGAGCAATCGCTCTCCTCTACCACGCGGACCAGTGGCCGAAAGGAGAAACGAGAGAGCGAAATGAGGAGAGAAGATGTTTCGTCTGGACGCGCGACGTGCACACGTATATACAATCATGTCTCGTGTACATATACGGTTATACGTACGTACACACGTGAACACGCAGATCTGCCTGGCGTCCTTGGTTAGCCGACAATAATTTCCGGATGAATTTAAATGACGCACTGGGCGCGTGTTCTCTCTCTCTCTCTCTCTCTCTCTCTCTCTCTCTCTCTCTCTCTCTCTCTCTCTCTCTCTCTCCCCCCCCTCTCTCACATACACTCACTCACTCACTCACTCACTCACTCACTCACTCACTCATGCTCTCTTCTTCTCTGTCTTCCTTTCTCTCGTTAGGATTGTCTCTGCCTTTATTTTGGACGACCATGTGCTCGTCTTCGTTGTCTGCTCTCTCTTTCTCTCTCCCACCTTCCCCCCCCTCTCTCTCTCTCTTTCTTTCTTTCTCTTACGAGATCTTTCTTCATATGCTAACAGAGGTTCTCAACTGGAAAGATAGGAACGCAAAGTTATATCGCTACGACTCTAAACACCCTGTACGCTCTACCATCTGTCGTTTGTATGAAACGTGCCCTCAATCGGTGTCGGAGGGGAATATTGATTTATTCTTCAGGGTAACCCCTTCCACGTACTGCACGTTCTTGCTTTCCCCTCCGTACGTACATGCACACCCGTTCTGGTACATACAGCCGTGTATGCACGCACACACGTTGCGATGTTACCAGCAGGGTTGCTCGCCTCCCCCACCCTTTAACTCGAGCGGCAATCGTGGCGATCAATACACACTCGCTCCTTCCTCATTCCGGATGCTGTCGCCACCCCTGTTGAACGCGGTGGCAAATTCTTGCATGTATTACCTTATCAAAATCAATCAGAATGCCGAAGGGAGACAGCCCGTTTTAAAGTAAAAATGAGTCATATCGCGATGGGTGTTTATCACGAGTCCGAAAATCAAAGGGTTATAAAGCAAGAACAGTTTTGAAGAATGAAGCTTGAAATGAAGAATGTCGAAACAAATAATAGGGAATAAAATGAATATATATATATTCACATAGGACATTTATGACCGCGATAATTGTGCTATCGCAATATGCAAAGATGCAAAAATGCAAAAATGCGTAGAATCTATAAAATTACTTTAAATATAAATAAAAGAATAAAAATAATTTTACTATTTTTTGAAATATAAGACTTTTAGGAGTTGATCGTGCATTTATGTTTTGCTTAATATGCTTCAAAAATTAAAGTTAATGGAAAGTCTATTATTTCCTCAAAAAGAGGTGCTTTGACCGTAATATGAGATAATAAATAAAATAAAAAAATAAATAGATAAACTACTATAATGAGTGTGTGTAGTTTGTTTATTTATTTTTTTATTTCATTATGTGTATATATATATATATATATATGTCTGTATTGTACCGCGTAACGAACAAATCATTGGCAAAATTTCATAGCAGTGTTACAAGTATACACTTTTGGCTTTACACTTCATCTAATCTCACAGAGCTACGGAAAAGTCATTAACGTCTGCTTTATGGAATTCCGCTCCTCTGAAGTTCTGCCCCTCTTCCCCTATATCATACTTCTTTCATACATTCAATCTCCACTAAACACATCTCCGGGAATATAAACGTATTTAACTTCCATTTATGATGACACGTGATCGCATACTTAGTGAGCATTACTAAGATAATATAGTTTTTTCTTTATCGTATTTATCACGAGATTGGAACACGACAATATAATTATCGCGATCACAAAGTTCTCATGTTATATATTCATTATACGAAACGTATGGATTATTTTGTTACGATAGGCTGAGAAGAAACTATCAATTCCCAATGTTTTCTGAACACATTCCCTTTTCCATTTCATTTAAAAATTGCATGTGTGTGTGTATATGCGTGTATAATTAATGTAATAAGTATAAAGCAGGGCGATGCTTAGAGACTTCTCCGACCGAAGCAGATTCACAAACTGCTCAAAATCTCTATGTTTAAATATTTCTAACATTAAATAGAACAGCCTGACCTTGCTGTCTTTGAGAAATGTGTTATTATCACATAACGATAAAATAATTTTGACAAAAGAAACGAGTTTAAACTGTTTCTTCATACAAATCTGTTCTAGTCTTCTTTGTTTGTTATATCAAGTACTTTGTATGTTATAATACTTAAACTTAAAAATAGCAAGAATAAATCAATATTGTTCAAAAGTATGTAATTTATACATTTTTAGTAAATTAAATAACATATATATCCACAGAAACAAAGGTTTTTTCATTCTTGATGTAGATGATTGGCAAAATTTTAAACGAAAAAGAGTATATACGAATATATGCAATATATGCGAATATATATATGTTAAAACGAAAAACTTTCCTAAAAAGGTAAAACACATGCAATGGAGAAAATTTTCCCTTTTTAGAGTGAATGTTTGACGACGATTAAGCAGGTAGACGGATTGCCCGACGACAAAAGGAAAGGTTTCAAAGAATAGTTGGTTACCGTTATAGCCTTCAAAAATGGAGGGTGGAATCAGTAGGCTGGATTGCTACGAGGACATGTTCAAAGAAATTACGAGGAAACTTTACGGGGAGGACCCCGACCATAGAAGTACGTATAAGAATTTTACCTGATGTTGGAAACAACAATATATTTCTTTAACCCATCTTAGAAGGTCACCGATAAGAAAGAAGTTTCTTTTCCAAGTGTTGTATTTCTCTGTAGAGTTGTAAATTTCGGAAAAAGACTTTCTCTTTTACAATGCACACATGTAATAGTCTGTTCAAATATAGATATAATGTCTCGTGTACACGCATGTTTCAATGCAATTCATTATATAAACAGAGCTACTATTGCGACTGAAAATGAACTTATTATCCAAATTACTTAATTGCTTAACGTTAACTATATTTGGTAATCAACGAAATTTCAATTTATAAATAGTAACTCGATTAAATGTTTCGAGCTTGAATTTATTTTCGTTACTATCATTTTAACGGATATTGGTTGTGTAAATAAATGCCTCTTTCGTTATTATACATTGTAAGTTCAATATAATTTATTGCAACTTTGTCGATGTAGCGTCAAGCGTGCAAAACGAGTTCGAGACATCAGTTTCGTACAAAAATGACGAAGATACCGGAAACGGAACTGATGGCAGTGATGACGGAAATTGGACGTGTGAAGAAGAACCGCTCAAGGGTACAGACGGGAGCAGAATTGCAGCTTATCACGCGAGTAAAGGCACATGGCGATGTTACGAGTGCGGTGAGTCTCAGGAGTTACAAATTTTTGCCAATAATAGTTATTAATTACCTGTATAGTAAAAACCTGACGCGTTTTCTTAATAGTTTTTCAATTTTACGTTCGAGCAAGTTTTGATAACTTTGTCTCAACAGTTCGTTTGCAATTCTCTAACTTTAAATGATTAAATTGATAGAATATTCGGTGCAAAGTTTTAATAGGTTTTTCAACGGTGTCGTGAATATAAAAATATATAATATCAAGCATAATAAGAAACAATGACGAAATTACTTGGTACAATAAATAAATTGTTTTTAGTAAAATTACTTACACACACTTTTCTGTCACAAAATCCATTAAAACTTTGCACAAAGTTAATATGTAGATCAGCAGTTTCTCCATTCTTGCGCCGAACCAGATGCCATGAGATCCAAGAAAAGAAAAGAAAAAAGATAGGAAAATATTTCCACGTAATAAATAGTATTGTAACAATTTTTTGTTCTACTAGTTTTTCTCTCGTCTCTCCCAATTCAATATTTTCCCTCCGAATTAATAATTTTCTTACTCTTGTCGCGCATATCGATGAAACGTTTAGTATAGATTTTCTATCGGAAGATAGTAAAAATGTTGCAATTATGCAGGATAAAAGTAGATTGATTGAATAAGGGTAAATGGCGAGGAGAATCGTGCCGCTAATTACGGTCGTACTGTTTGATGTTGTGAATTACTGTTATGAGAAATGTAACGCCATAAGAGATAAAACACTTCTAATTCGATAATTCTATTGCATAATTACTGTTTGAGTTAACAATTGCTGTAACAAATGCTTTATACGCGCGCGAGGAAATGGGGCTGACCATTGAGTTTCTTGATACAGGTGATGTTATGGGGGGTGGTCCACGAGAGGCTGCAGAGCACTTTATGGAACTACATTCGTCACGAATTCTTGCTGACGACAATAGGCATAGGCATCATTCGCCACGCAAAGATTATTTGCAGACAGAGTTAAAAGTTGACGACGTAGTAACGTACTTGGAAAGGTTGAGGGAAAGGGCTGAACGAGCTGCTCCTCCCACTCGTAGAACACAAGAAACACAAACTTTACCTGCGACTCTATTACCCATGACTCCCACGTTTTTGCTACAAGAGTTGCCCTCTACGCCACAATCACAGCATCTGCATCAGGTAGGTCTCGGGGTCTCTTCAGTTATAACTGAGCTTAGCACGTGTAAAGAACGGGAAGCTTAGCACGTGTGAAGACCGTGAGCACCTGTAGTTCGCTACGTGTTAAGTTAATCGCGCGCGATATTTAATTACGTGTGACGCTTAATCGCGCGTGATATACGTGCGCGTTTATACGTCTTCATTTTTTTTATTACAAATCTATATATAATATAAGCATACGAGTGAACGGTGGTAAATACAAACGCTAAATGTCGCAGACCACACCACCGCCTTCCACTTCGACACCATCCACGAGCGCGGCGGTTAAGCGATACAACTGCCAATGTTGTCCTTACGGCACCGATAGGCGTGATCTATTTGTACGCCACGAGAACATTCATCGGGAGGACAAGCCTTTCTACTGTTATGAATGCCACAAGCCCTTCAATCGTGCTGACCACGTAAAAAAGCATTTCGCACGTATGCATCGTGACAGCGTTTACGATGTCACGAGAATAAGAAGGCCTCCGGAGCCGAAACCAATAGTACAAGATCAGATTGAAGCACCGGGGCCTAGCAACAGCATAAATGGTCAACAGCAACAGCAACAGCAGCAACAACAGCAACAACATGTTGGTTACCAGCCTTTCACTGGTAGCAGGGCGTATCAATTACAACCAACCCCTGGAACGAGCAATGGGATTTATCAAGCGCCTACAATGCAAAATATTGCTAGTGGGATTTCGTTACCCGAAACAAATACCAATAGAAGGGGGCAAAATAGTGGATGTCACAGTAAAAGCCACACCAAAAGTAATTCAAAGAATGCGAACGAACGAAGGTATGTATCGCAATCATTTTTTTTAACATTGTTTCTGTGTTCGAAATAACGTATGGGAAATTATTACTGGTCCTGCGTTGTAGATACCCGACTATTTCAATATTTACTTGCTTCGATATTTACTTGCATTCTCATGATCGCGTCGAATAAATTATTTCTAACGTGTGAGATTTCTAACGTTCCAACAAATTTCTGATAAGAGAATGTTCTTTGTAAAAATATTCTAAGAAAGAAAAGTTATTTTTGATAAAAAGTGTCGTATGTAATCAGTGTCAGCTTAGTTTTTTACAAAAAAGCGTATTAACTCATTAATGCCCGCTGGGACAGAAATTTCGCGTTGATTTCAATGTTATGAATTTTTAACCTAACCTAATGACCCAAATTTGGGGCCTACCGCGTGAAAGAACTCGACCAACAGGACAACTTTTATTTTAGATAATTTTTCATAAAAATGCACTCATAACGAGTTATTCGACCGAGTTCCCAAGGATCCGCCGATATCTATGATGATACATGTATATGATCGTCGTATTAAAATTACTAAATTGCAAAAAATTTCAGAACCACATATATTTTAAGTCACATACAAGTCTTGAGGACACGATTGGAGTACTTTTCAACATATATTCAACATTTTCATCAAGATGAAATCCATGATTTAAAGAAAAATTGACGAGAAAAAATCGGATTTTTTTGGAAAAAACCGTTATAAATCAATACAAACACTCATTTTTTTATAATTCTCGCAGCGGATTCGGAAAGAGCGACCTCGAAAACTCTTAGTAATGTACTTTGAATTAAAATTTTCGAGCATTTTTATAAAAATCCATAACATTGAAATCAACGTGAAATTTCTGTCCCAGCGGGCATTGATGGGTTAAGTCGAACTCTTTGAGTTCGAACGTTTTTTGAGTAACCCCTTAAATCTCATATAGATATGGATAGGATAAGTCTGATACAAAGTTTACGTTTTTCTCACAAACGGTTACAGATAAAAGAAGATATCCATTATCAAAATCGCAGGACAAATAGACACATAAGTTAATCACTTCGAGTGTCGGTCTTTCACACCAAAACAAAATATATATATATTTTTTTAACGAAAAGGAATACATTTCAATCGCTGCGTAGATAGTACTCAATAAGCTTGATAACTTTTGAATTAAAATATCGTTCGAAAATTTAACCATTGTCGGGATATATATTAACGAAGCTATAAGTAAGAAAATTTAGAATCGATCTTTTTATTTTTATTACGGTAAATGTTCAAAATATTTACCGTGTTGACTCAGACATGTCCGTAATCTTCGCGGAAAGTAATCGTGCCGAAAACTTTTTAACAATAGAACAATTTGGAAAAAAGAAAAAAAAACTAATGTTAACGGAACATAATAAGCAGAACAAATTCTGACTAATGTTTTTATCTGTCGTTCATTTGTCGCTAAGTTGTCAAGGAAAAAAATTTGTGGCCCTTTTATTCTGCTATCTTATAATTTTTTTAGTGGGACATTAAATAATAAATAGAGGCAACAAAAAAGAATAAGTTGGTAACAAATAAACAAAAGAAAATAAAAAAGTAACAAATCTCTTTTTCCAACTTATTATTAGCAACAAGTGAGTAAAATTAATAAAATAACAAGTAAAAATATTAGTTAACAATTTGTTCTACTTATCTTATTCCGCTAATTTATGAGACGTCTATAATTGACGTCAACGACTAACACGTATTATAATATAACGAAGAAATTGAAATATTGCAGGTTTTCGTGTCAGTACTGTGCATGGACGGGAGTGGACAATTGGTGTTTAAAAAGACATTTGAATACTCATATTAAGCCGTATTTATGTACACTATGCGACTACAAAGCAGCACGTTCCGAGAGACTCTCGACGCATTTGTTGAGGGTACACGCTAAAAAACAGTGTACAAAATGCCCCACGATCTTGTTCGATACCGACGCCGAGTTGCAAATGCACCAATTACAAACACATCGTATGACCAGTGCATCAACATCGACCTCTCGGGCGGCACCGTCGACAAGTCGAGCTACGATACAACAACCATTGCAGCAGTGAGTTGACAGCTTTTATAATTATCAATATTAGAATTTCTCTTATACGATATTACCGATATTCGAAACGTAAAGGTTAAAAGTACAGTGTGCATTCGACATCGAATGCAATATAATAATATTCATGCTTGGTCAACAATGAGAGAATAATACCGTGCACGGCGCAAAATATTCAATGATTAGACGAGTCAGGCTCGTCAGGTACATACATATATCGGGCTAAATACAAGAAGAACGGGTAAGATTCATCGTATGTTTTCCGAGCGAAATATAAGAACACAAGTGTGGTGCAGTTTTTACGTGTTTTGGTCAATGTTTTGCGTCTGCGATTTGCATTTTACGAATTTGCAATTTACGTAGACTGGACATTACAAATACAACTTTATCGTCGACTTTGGTACGCGCTGTCGCTTAAATCATAGTGCAAGGGATTAATCATTACCAATTTGATTTGTCGAATTATAATTATACGATGTAAAAAGCAACGCGTAACGAGCAATGTTGTAGTTTCTCTCTGTTGGTTAGGTTGAATTGCGATTTAGAGGCTTTATTAACAAATTCAGTCAACAGCACGTATTGTTTTCATCGTCTGCATTTGCACCGCGCTACAATCGTAATTCGACGAATCAACGTATCGGTTCCAGTCGCGATTAATAATTATTTACGCGAGGTTGTGTAAAGTCAAAGTCGTCACGTGAAATTTGTCCATGGGAATAACCGGTATTTCTAGTGTCACGTGGTGGTAATTTTTGTTACTTCATCGGTAATTTACAACATTATTATTCGGGCGACAGGATATTTAGACGTTCATCACATTGTAGCACATTTTTATATACATACATTATATCTTTTGGAAAATTTAAAGTAGAGCAACATTAGATTTCGTTTTTCGGATAAATACTTTCGCTTTTGCAATTTTGCATACGCGGATGGAAACTTCCTCGCAGGAGTCCAATGTCCCTTTATTCTTGCTCGCTGGCGAATAATTTACTCGATTACTTAACTATCATTATTAAATTTATAGTCCCGCTGTCGGAGGCCGTGCGCCACCTGGGCCGCCCGTTTTTCCAGCTCCAGCCCAACCAATAACACAATCTTCCTCCAGCGCCGGGGTACAGGCGGCAAATATTCCTCTCGGGTAAGCCTCTCATGGCATTTACTGCTGCTGCACGTGATGCTAATTTTTGTTACTTCATTCGACTTCATTAACTGCTATATTTTGTTGCGTAATTATCTTCTCCTCTGTTTCTCTCGGTTACCATTAATTGCGCACAACGAGTGTCGCGCGATATTATAAGCCACGAGAGCTCTTGCGAATTTTATGTTCGTCACTTTGCGCGTCATTATCCACTACTCGTCCTCCTCCTCCTCTGTTTTATGTTACGTTCTCGCGTCATTTTTTGATCATTTTTTTTTTCCGTTGACAAAGCTTAAATCTTCCGATCGAGTCTTTTGGAGGCATCGATTATGTTACCACCATGTGCACGCTTTGTTTGCTTTCGGTGTAGTAGGCTGCGCGTGCGACGTCAGTCGTTTATGCGCTGTTGTTGCTGGATGTGTTCTTTATATAGTTACACACCCTTTCCCTCACGTCGTACCACGACGGACGCTCATACGTTGGTAGAAAAATGACGCGAACGTAACTTATGGAACAGTGCCGCGGTGGTTGCAGCCACGAGATGGTAAAGTCCCCTGCAACTGCAACGACTATGGCATACCCCACGGAGGAGGAGAAGCGATCGTATCGTTGCGCTGGCGACGTCAACGGTGACGGTGACGTCAACCATGACGACGACAACAACGACGACGGCTACGACGATGACAATGACGGCGTCGTCCGAAAAAATGGTAACCGCGAGGAACGCAATCATGATTTCGGCGCCCGTTGCGTCTGCAGTTTCAAGAGCGATAGGGACTTTAAATCACGTAGCGATTGCAATAACAGATGTGCTAAGAACGATATTGATGTGTCCGACAGCTTGTTACTTGAGCAGTTTAACCGATTAAACGGGAATTACCAGTCGATAATGGAGGAGATTAAACGAGAGCTGCACAGCGCGGAGATTGTGCTAGATCACACGCAAAATGAAGAATCGCAGGATTCATGGTTGCACGATGCAATTGACACCGACATGATACACACCGCTTTAATTCAACGTCTACACGGTCAGGAGAGCAATGAAACCGAGACGCAAGAACGGACAAGACGACGGAAGCAACTGCACCCGAAGAAAGTGGTACCCTGTAAACTCTCGGAGTCGAATGGTTTAACTGAAGATTGGTTGTGCACTATGGACTCATCCAATTCACCGCCACCTGTGGCCACCGAAATTGGCATATTCAAAGCGAAGGTAAAATTTAAGAAAAACAATGTACAGTCGAGAAAAGCGTCATCGAGATTGCTCCGATGCATTCTGTGCCCGAGACATACGGCCGCGCGAGGTACAGTCTACGAGGGTTATAAACCGTATCACACTCGAGCTTCGTTGTTACTACATAAACTGTGGCGTCACAGACGCCGAGGGAAGTTAAAACAGAATCCTGAGTCCACCCTAATCACGTCTTCGCTTATTTCTTCGATCACACTGAAGGCTATTTTCGTCGCCAGGCCGAATTACAATTATTACAGATAACATTTTCCAAGCGCCGGTATCTTGACTTTGCGAATCGAGTTTGTCGATCATAATTTCTTCACGAAATTCTCTCCTAACTTATAGACTTATATTCTTTCGATATTTCCTATTTATGAATCGGCATGTTGCTCGCTAATTGCCGTCCGTTTACATTGTGCAACAACTGCTTCGACAATTGTTGACGTGACGATGAATTTCATACCTCCAAAAGATCTTTATATCTGTGATGAGGAAAACTTTGTAAGATATTTTTCTTTGTGAGATTATAAGGTATATCGATTCGTATTTTCGCATTGTGCAACATGTTCCTTATTATGTAACACGTTCGCTACTTGCGCATATTCTCATAAGAGATAAGCGTCACGAGAGAAAGCGACCATGTTTCTTTCAATGTCTTTCGACACATAAACGAAATATAAGTTTATTTTACACAACTGCATAAAAAATACATAGACTAAATCGCAGAGAGAAGATTTTTCAAACGTAGTAGCGAACGTGATGAACTAGTGGATAACTTAATAGAAACTGTGAAGAACAAATATATTTATTATTTAATTTTACTCTACTTTTAAATTTAATTTTCTTAACGTCTTGATGGAATTTATATTTGTATAATTGGAATCGGATGTGTAAGGTTTAACGACGCAATCAGTGTGAGAAACAAGAAGAGTGGTTTTAGCGAACATGGACCAAAAATGATAACGCAGTAAAAACGCATGTGATGGAAGTAAGGATAATCAATAGAAAACTACTGTGAGATATCTCGATTGGTCAGTCATCGGCTTTCGATCGCCGTGTTCTTGCATATATCGTATGAATTCTATCGTAAACTGGAATACGCAGCTATATTTATGATTGTCGGGATGAGGATTACATGAAATATATAATAAACATTTCTATTTTGTGTCTTACTCTGCGTTACAGTTTATAAACATATCGTTTAATAGGCTATGCATTAACGAGAGATAACAAGTTTGCAATTTGTCAGAAAGATAAATTCTAGTAATTACAACCGTCTTCCTTAAATTACATTGCACAAACCAAAAACAATAGCTGCTTGCATTTTAATTACGATAAAATTCAGCAAATACACCATTCGATCAATTTATCTTCCACGGGATGGAAAGAGTTTATCAAGGTTACACGGAGGTATTTCAAATACCTCCGAAGATCGAATTCGAAGATTTTTTACAATTTATCGATGTATCGGACCAATCAAAAAGATATTATTCGGCTATCATTTGATCAATTTATCATTTAATCATCATTGAAAAAAACCAAGTATTTCAAACTAAAAAGTTTTTTAGTTCATCAAATTAACCAAAGTCAAGAATTTTAGTAAAAGATGTCACGCATACAAGTCGACATAATATCTTTAACACACGAAAAATTATATTGAACTAAAGATCATTCCATAAGAAATTCATGCTACGTTCTAGAATGGTATAATTACATGTGCTAAAATTATTATGCAACCTTGTGTGCATACACATAATACGAGAAACAGTGCTAAATATATATTATATGTATATAAACTATGTACTGCTATAAAAGTAACACTTTTACACGGTGATTTATCATGATTGATGAATAATTTCTATTGAACATGATAAACACAAATTTGACTAAACACACGAATCGACTTTTCAACACTTAAAACAAGCTCAGTAACTTTTACTTGTTATAATCTACGACTGTTCGCTTTTCATCATTCATCTTACTCATCATTTTTTCATGTATCCTGATGCGAGAAGTAACAAAGTTATTTTAGAGAGAGAGAGAGAGAGAGAGAGAGAGAGAGAGAGAAACAGAGAGAGAGAGAGAGAGAGAGAGAGAGAGAGAGAGAGAGAGAGAGAGAGATATCAAGGTACTTTCCCTAGGAGCTTCCGTGGATCTAGATAATTCAATTGAAATGATTTTTTCTTATGGTAAATATTTAGATGACATCTGAAGCCGTGAGAACGTACCATCAATATTTTGCCGGAAAGGAAAAATCAATTTCGATAATAGCACGATTAAACAGAAAATTGCAGATCTTTGTTTTATCGTGATAATACATTTTAAATATATAGGACGCAAGATTCATGATAGCTCGGGAAAATGAGAACAGAAGCTAGTCGGAATGTCAAGCCCTAATATTTCCGTGGTCGAAATCGTATATATTTTTAACTTTCAAAAATAAATGAATAAAAGAGAAAGACAGAGAAACGACAAATTACGTACGAATGAAATATAAATGTGACTCCAACTGAAAGTACTTTAACATAACATAGAAGGACATGTGAATACACTTTTTCGCAGCGGCCTGCTCAACCGCTTTCGAGTATAAGATATCAATCGGATTTAAAGTGACTGTAGATGTTACATAAAATACAGGGTGTCCTAAAATTAATCGCTTCATTATTATTATCATCAATTAACATTTTATTACAAATACATTTTATTACAAAACATTTTATTACAAATACAAATTTTTAAATGCTACTGATTACCTTAATTTGAAATTTTTCAATTATCTCCATCTAGAGTTTCACTCGATATTACAGTAATTTCTTGAATATTGTATTTTAAAAAATATATATAAAATTTATTTTTCGAAATAAACTTGATCTTTTAAAACACTCCATACAGTCAAGTCTAGAGCAGATAAATTTGAAGGGCGCGGCGATCAATTAAAATCGCCGCTTTAATTAAACAATCAAGAATCATCTCCCTCAAAAAGTCTTGGAGTGTATATCTATGTATTTTTTATATTCATTGGTCCTTCTTTTATATTTAGTACAAAAATTGTTGAATCGAAAAATATATATAAATATTTAAAATAAGGTGATTGATTTTGAGACACATTAGTACGATCTTTGTGGCTGCGAAAACATACTACGACGATATTTTTATGTAAAATTGACGACAAGACGACAGAGACTGCAGCGATAATGGTCAATAATCGATGTCTTATCGAATTCGTCTTTTTCAATCTGTTCGTCCATCTAACTCCGCGCATACTTTCTCCCCCTTTTTCTTAAGAACAATGATGACGTCGTTAATGCTTCGGAGGAGTTTCATAGTGTAAGCCTTCCGGAAAACATGCTTGACTAAACGTGATTTTTATATAACGCGTTTGTACAAAAAAAAAAAGTTTTCTTGTTTACGTTATCACGTGAAATATATTATATCATAAAACACGAATAAAGGAAAAGTTGCAGACTTGTAGGAGGATCTCGTTGCAGACCTAAATGTTTGCACTTTTCTATATTTTCTTCTAAATCACATTTTTACTCCTATATATGTCTAATCATATGTTTCCTATATAATTATAGTTAATTCTCCAAATCCTAATTCCAACATATGATTCTAATATCTTTATACGGTTAGTGAACAAAAAGGTGCAACGCTTTTATTTCGATGCTTTTACTTTTTTTTTATTTCGATAGATTTTGTAACCTAATATGTAACAAGAGAATTTTTTTCTTAATAATTTAATATATTGCAAAATTCACCGTAAAAATGATTTATTTATTTATTCATTAACGGTCTATTCACTAATAATATTATTCATCAGTATTATAAACTTTTCGAACATTAATTTCAAATTCACAATTTTAAAATTTCGAGTATTAATTTCAGATATACGACTTCGCAAAAACAAAACAGAGATATGCACCATACCTAGCAAGAAAGAAACAATGGAAAGCTATGCTAAATAACCACAAAGGAAGAAACGTGGGAGAGTAGAAAGCGAGGAGAGAGGAGAAGTAAGCGACACAAACAACGACGACTGCTTCTAGACTGCAGCTGATAAGGATACATACTCTCCTGCATACGAGACTATCCTAAGTCTATACTGATCGTCGGCAATGTGAACAGCAATGGGTACTACTACACGAACAGAATGAGACGATCTACATTAGTGGCTGCTGGCAAAAAACGCTTTAATATTGATAAAATTTATGCTCCAGTTTCCAAAACCAAAGAACTATATCAAAAATTTGTTTGTAGGAAGTAAAATTGCAATGACGGTACGGAGCTAGCGCACAGACTCGTTCCTACGTGTTAAAATGCGTTCAGCAGAAAAAATTGCTTTATGACCGTTCGAATTCATGAATTCAATCTATCTATGAATTGGTATATGTTCTTATATTCAACCGAGATTAACAATGTATACAAATCAGATTCACAAATTTTATACGGTTGTAAAATAGTTTTTGTTGCTGAACGCATTTATTAACAAATAACATTGTTTTATTATAACAAATAAAATTGTTTTATTATAACAAATAAAATTGTTTTATTATAATAAATAAAATTGTTTTATTTATTTTGGTTATATGCATAAGGAACATTTTTCTTTGAAATATTATTTGATACAAGAAACATTAAATGGAAATTTTGTGAAAATGTTATTTGATATAAGAAATATTGAGTGCAAATATCTTTAGGCGTTGTTTACACTATGACTTCCGATAAAAGCTTATAAATACTATTTGTATTTTGATCATTAAAAGATTCAATAGGAGAGAAAATTAACGTGGAATTTGGCATTTCCAGAAAATCATTGTAATACAGTACTATATATAATATAGTATAGTATAATAATGCATTGAGAACATTTTCCTAACTTTTTTTAATTTTTAACATTCACTTTTAATGTATACGAAATTTTTAGCATATACGAAAAAATTCTAAGTCAAATAAGTAGAGTCAACTAAATAACCGTATGGATTATAAGAGTTATTAAACAACAGATTCGGATGCAATATCCTACGTTAAATATAATTTAAGTTAAATATTTAGTGGATAACTGCGGAGCAATTTTATCTTTATCATTTATCATATTTTTTTATTATATAACCATTAAGTTTTAATCGAAAGAACGCAGGAAAACAGATCATGTAATCAATTATATATGATTATATATAATTATATAAAATTATATATGATAATTATATATGATTATATATAAATTACATAAATTTTGTCTATATGTAACGCATATATGTGACGCATGGTAAAAAAATTATATTAAATGAAAAAGGAAAAAAATAATTTTATTCAACTAAATGATATCACGTGCTGCCAGAAGCACAAACATTTACTTCGATATCTTGTGTTCAATTGCAATAGTCAAACAATAGTTTTTTCATTGTGAACATGCACGATTATATATGGCTATACGTGGATCAAATTCATACATGATCTTTTTTTCTCAGGGAGTTAGTATACAACATTTATTATACATGCTTAGAAATTGTATATACATGTACATGCGTATATACACATATGAGTAATATATAGATACGTTCTATATATTTTTTCATCTTTGTATGTATATTATGAATTATTATTAATAAAGTGTATTTTTCATATATTATTATGTGTTATTATTATATGTTATATCATATTCAGTATTAATTATTTTATTCCATTTTTCCAAGATTGCAAGAACAAAAGTTAAAAATAATTTGAGTTATTTTTGTTAATTTTATGATTATTTTGCACTAACATTTCGCGCACATCACAATTTATTTAACATTCTTTCCTACATACTCTACATAACGAACAAATACTTTTTATCAAAAATAATATCGCCGTCGAATGATTATCCTAACGAACCTTCGCTCAGGAACGTAAACCCTTTAGACGTTTAGACCATAGCTACGCGAACGTCAATCTGACGTCTGCAGTCGATAATTGGATGAAATTTGCGAAATCCTGAGACGGGTCGACATATCACTCAATTTTTCGTTACGGGATAACATTATCCTGAAATCATCGATGTACTTAGATAAATCGGACCTGGATCATCCATAAATACTAGGAGAGGAATCATACATGTATCTTACGTGCACGATGCAGATAAATACTTTAAATTATGTTAAAAGATAAAGAAGTTCATTGCTATAAACGTTTGCAAATATTGTTCATGGAACCTTCATTTTTCTGCAACCTTCGCAATCGATGGCACATGGAATTTTGTTCCGCAATAAAATGACAACATCAATGATATTATCTAATATAGCAACTAATATAACTCTTTATCAATCGATGTCAAAAAATATGTGATGAAATGATAAAATGAAGTAAGAAGTTATCCCGAGATATCCATATAGTATTTTTAAAGAGAAAATAAATATTTTCATTTAATATAATATAATACTCTGTTTATATAGAAAAATTTCAGCAGTTTAATTAATTAATTAATTCTCGCGTGTTCTAATATTTTCACTAAAATATTGCTTTCTCGGAATATTACCATCTGACTACATGTGCAAGTATGATAACGATTTGTAATAAAGTTTATGGAATATCAATCAGCGATATCAATCAGTAATGAAAGCTGTCGCTGATCGATTCGAGCGGAAGCGTGAAGACCGTGAACACATACAGTTCGTATTAAGTTAATCGCGTGTGATATTTAATTACGTGTGACACTTAATCGCGCATGATATGTGCGCGTTTATACGTCTCATCGTTCATTCTTTTATTACAAATCGATAATATAAACAATAATACGAGTGAACGGTGGAAAATATAAACAAAAATACGAATGTCGCAGATCACTCCACCGACTTCAATACTATCCACTATACTATTTCAATATACCACTTCAAATACTACTTCAAATACAACTTCAATATTATCCACTTCAAATACTACTTCAAATACAACTTCAATATTATCCACGAGCGCGACCATTAAGTGTCATTAATTACTAATATTGTCCTTACGGCACCAATAGGCGTGATCTATTGGTGCGCCATGAAAACATCCATCGGAAGGACAAACCCTTCTGCTGCTATGAATGTGAGAAGCCCTTCAGTCGTGCCGACCATGTGAAGAAACACATTGCTGGTATGCATTGTGAAAGCACTTACGATGCTACCAGAATAAGAAGGCCTCTGGAGCCGACAGCAACAACGCGTTGGTCCAACTCCGGAAGCAAGGAACAAAATTTATTAAGCGCCTACTATGCGAAATATCGCTAGCGAGATTTCGTTGCCCGAACCAAGTAGCAGTAGAAGGGGGAAAAACAATGGAAGTCACACAAAAAAGTTCGAAGAATACGATCGAACAAAGGTATGTATCGCAATAATTTTTTTCAAATTGTTTTCGTGTTCGAAATAACGTAGGGAAAGTTATTATTGATCCTGCGTTATAGATATCCGATTATTTCAACGTTTACTTGCTTGGAAAGAATTCTCATTATCGCGTCGAGTAAATTATTTCTAACGTGTGAGATTTGATTCCAACAAATTTCTGATAAGAGAATGTTCTTTGTAAAACATGTTCTTTGTAAAGAATATTCTCTGTAAAAATATTCTAAGAAAAAAAAATTATTTTTGATAAAAATGTACATAATCTCAGCTTAGTCTTTTACAAAAAAGCGTATTAAGTCGAATTCGCAACTATGTCGAGAGATTATGAGAGACGAACATGGACGAGATTGTACATATTCTTACAGTGAGTAACGAAGTTGATATGATGGGTTTTATGTACGGATCGTGCGTTTAATTTGCGGTTATGATATACGCTGCTTCTTCGGTTATAACATACGGCTATGATATAACAATCTCGTGAGTGTGGGTACCGTGGCTATTTTCGTTAAACTTTCTTCCGCTCCAAATTTTACATCAAGTTTACCCTGAGCAGATATACCTAGTGAAAAATAAAAAGAAAAAGAAAAGAAAAAGGAAAAATGAAACTTTACGTCGAGAACATGAAATGTATTCTTTGAGTAACCCCAAATCTCATATAGATTTGCAGGATAAGTCTGATAAAAAGTTTACCACGTTTTTTTCACAAACGGTTAGAGATAAAAGAAGATACCATTATCAAAATTGTAGGACAAATAGATACATAAGCTAAGTTATCTTGAGTATCGGTTTTTCACACCAAAGAAAAAAAATATATATATATATATTTTTTTAATGAAAAGGAATACATTTCAGTCGTTTCGTAGATAATACTCAATAAGTTTGACAACTTTTGTATTAAAGTATTTTTCGAAAATTTAACCATTCGGGATACATATCAACAAAATTATACGTAAGAAAATTTAGAATCGATCTTTTTATTATTACGGTAAATGTTTAAAATGCTTACCATGCTGACCTAACCATGTCCGTAATCTTTGCGAAAAGCTTGCCGAAAACTTCGTCTAGCTCTTATATCGCGAGTTATTTCGCGAAACTTATTTCGCGAGAAATAATTTTTACTTTCTATCACGTTCTCTGCAGAAAAATACTTTTTTCTTTCTTTCGTCTTTAAATCATAGACATAATAAAGCTGAAAGTCAAACCTCTGGAATAATATTTCAAAGATTGCTGTTACACTGCCTCTTGATCGGCTGACATCGCTTCTTATATTTGGTCCGATGTACGTATCACGAACCTAACACGTATTTCTTATGTCTGGCCCATAAAGCATATCACGTGTCTCACACGATATTATAGGACAAGGAATTAACGTCTCATACGTTAACGGAACATAATAAGCAGAACAAATTCTATTAATGCTAATTAATTAACTGCTCTATTAATTAACTAATGCTTTTTTCTATTGCTCATTTGTCACTAAGTTGTCAAGGAAAAAAATTTGTTGCTCTTTTATTCTGCTACCTTATAATTTTTCTTTAGCGGAACATTAAAAAATAAATAGAGGCAACAAAAAGAACAAGTTGGCAACAAATAAACAAAAGAAAATTGAAAAGTAACAAATCTCTTTTTCCAACTTATTAGCAACAAGTGAATAAGATTAATAAAATAACAAGTAAAAATATTAATTAACAATTTATTCTACTTATCTTATTTCGCTAATTTATGAAACGTCTATAATTACAATGACTAACATGTATTATAATATAACGAGGATATTGAAATATTGCAGGTTTGCGTGTCATTACTGTTTATGGACGGGAGTAGTCGATTGGTGTTTGAAAAGACTTTTGAACACACATAATAGCCGTATTTATGTACACTGTGCGACTACAAAGCGGCACGTTCGGAGAGACTTTCGACGCATTTGTGGAGGATACACGCTAAAAGCAGAGTACAAAATGTCCCACGGTCTTCGATACCGACGGTTCGATACCGACGCCGAGTTGCAAATGCACCAAATACAAACACATTGTATAACCAGTGCATCAACATCGACTTCTCGGGCAACACCGTCGACAAGTTGAGCTGCGATACAATAACCTTTGCAGCAGTGAGTTGACAGCTTTTGTAGTTATCAATATTAGAATTTCTCATTATACGATATTATCGATATTTGAAACGTGAAAATTAAAATCAGAGTGCATTCGATATCGATATTCTATCTATATCATAATATTCATGCTTGGTCAACAATGAAAGAATAATATCGTGCATGGCGCGAAATATTTAATCATTACTTACAGATTTGTCGAATTATAATTATACGATGTAAAGAACAACACGTAACGAGCAATGTTGTAGTTTTCCTCTGTCGAATCGTTATTTGAAAGCTTCATTAACAAATTTAGTTAATAGCACGTAATGTGTATTGTTGTCTGCATTCGCACTACGCCATTATCAATTCGATAAATCAACGTATCGGTTCCAGTCGCGGTTAATTATTTAGTTACACGTAGTTGTGTAACCAAACTCGTCACGTGAAATTTATCTATAGGAATAATCAGTACTTCTAACGTCACGTGATGCTAATTTTTGTTACTTTATCAGTATTTTACAACATGACATAATTATTCAGGCAGTAAGATGTTTATACGTCCATTCACAATATATTACATTTTTACATATATATTACATCTTTTGGAAAATTCGAATAGAGCAATATTAGATAGCATATTCTCATAAGAAATAAGCGTTACAAGAGAAAGCGACCATTTTTCTTTCAATGTCTACACAAACAAAATATAAGATTATTTAACACAACTGCATAAAAAGTACATAGACTAAACTGTAGAGAAGATTTTTGAAACGTAATAGCGAACGTAATGAACTAGTAGATAATTTAATAGAAAGTATGAAGAATGAATGTATCTACTATTTAATTTTACTCTACTTTTAAATTTAATTTTATTAATGTCTTGATGGAATTTATGTTTGTATAATTGGAATCGGATATATAAGGTTTAAGAACGCAATGTGAGAAACAAGAAGAGTGGTTTTAGCGAACATGGACCAAAAATGATAGTAGTAAAAACGCGTGTAATGGAAGTAAAAATAATCAATAGAAAACTACTGTGAGATATCTCGTTTGGTCAGTCATCAGTTTCGATCGCCGTAAGAACAATGATGACGTCGTTAATGCTTCGGAGGAGTTTCATAGTGTGAGCCTTCCGGAACATATACTTGATTAAACGTGATTTTTATATAACGCGTTTATAAAAAAAAAAAAAAACCGTTTCTTATTTACGTTATTACGTGAAATATATTATATCAAAAACTGCGAATAAAGGAAAAATTGCAGACTTGTAGGAGAATCTCGTTGCAGACCTAAATGTTTGCATTTATCTACATTTTCTTCTAAATCATATTTTTACTCCTATATAATCATATGTTTCCTATATAATTATAATCAATTCTCCAAACCCTAATTCTAATATCTTTATACAGTTAATGGACAAAAAGGTGCAACGCTTTTATTTTAATGCTTTTACTTTTCCTTTTTTTACTTCAATTGGTTTTGTAACTTAATATGCAACAGATCAATTTTTTTTAATAATTATTAGATAATACATTTTCCGCTATTGGATATATTGCAAAATTCATTGACATAAAAATTATTTGTTTATTCATTAATGGTCTATTTACTAATAATACTAGTCATCAGTATTATGAACTTCTCAATATTAATTTCAAATTCAAAATTTTTAAATTTCGAGTATTAATTTCAGATATACGACTTCGCAAAAACGAAACAGAGATATGCACCATACGAAGCAAGAGAGAAACAATGGAAAGCTATGCTAAATAACCACAAAGGAAGAAACGTGGGAGAGTAGAAAACGAGGAGAGAGGAGAAGTAAGCGACACAAACAATGACGACTGCTTCTAGACTGCAGCTGGTAAGGATACATACTCTCCTGCATACGAGACTATCCTAAGTCTATACTGATCGTCGGCAATGTGAACAGCAATGGGTACTACTACACGAACAGAATGAGACGATCTACATTAGTGGCTGCTGGCAAAAAACGCTTTAATATTGATAAAATTTATGCTCCAGTTTCCAAAACCAAAGAACTATATCAAAAATTTGTTTGTAGGAAGTAAAATTGTAATGACGGTACGGAGCTAGCGCACAGACTCGTTCCTACGTGTTAAAATGCGTTCAGCAGAAAAAATTGCTTTATGACCGTCGAATCCATGAATTCAATCTATCTATGAATTGGTATATGTTCTTATATTCAACCGAGATTAACAATGTATACAAATCAGATTCACAAATTTTACACGGTTGTAAAATAGCTTTTGTTGCTGAACGCATTTATTAACAAATAACATTGTTTTATTATAACAAATAAAATTGTTTTATTATGACAAATAAAATTGTTTTATTTATTTTGGTTATATGCATAAGGAACATTTTTCTTTGAAATATTATTTGATACAAGAAACATTAAATGAAAATTTTGTGAAAATGTTATTTGATATAAGAAATATTGAGTGCAAATATCTTTAGGCGTTGTTTACATTATGACTTCTGATAAAAGCTTATAAATACTATTTGTATTTTGATCATTAAAAGATTCAATAGGAAAGAAAATTAACGTGGAATTTGGCATTTCCAGAAAATCATTGTAATACAGTACTATATATAATATAGTATAGTATAATAATGCATTAAGAACATTTTCCTAACTTTTTTTAATTTTTAACATTCACTTTTAATGTATACGAAATTTTTAGCATATACGAAAAATTCTAAGTCAAATAAGTAGAGTCAACTAAATAACCGCATGAATTATAAGAGTTATTAAACAACAGATTCGGATGCAATATCCTACGCTTAAGTTAAATATTTAGTGGATAACTGCGGAGCAATTTTATCTTCATCATTTATCATATTTTTTTATTATATAACCATTAAGTTTTAATCGAAAGAACGCAGGAAAACAGATCATGTAATCAATAATATATGATTATATATAATTATATAAAATTATATATGATAATTATATATGATTATATATAAATTACATAAATTTTGTCTATATGTAACGCATATATGTGACGCATAGTAAAAAAATTATATTAAATGAAAAAAGGAAAAAAATAATTTTATTCAACTAAATGATATCACGTGCTGCCAGAAGCACAAACATTTACTTCGATATCTTGTGTTCAATTGCATAACAATAGTTTTTTCGTTGTGAACATGCACGATTATATATACGTGGATCAAATTCATACATGATCCTTTTTTCTCAGGGAGTTAGTATACAACATTTATTATACATATGAGTAATATATAGATACGTTCTATATATTTTTTCATCTTTGTATGTATATTATGAATTATTATTAATAAAGTGTATTTTTCATATATTATTATGTGTTATTATTATATGTTATATCATATTCAGCATTAATTATTTTATTCCATTTTTCCAAGATTGCAAGAACAAAAGTTAAAAATAATTTGAGTTATTTTTGTTAATTTTATGATTATTTTGCACTAACATTTCGCGCATATCACAATTTATTTAACATTCTTTCCTACATAACGAACAAATACTTTTTATCAAAAATAATATCGCCGTCGAATGATTATCCTAACGAACCTTCGCTCAGGGACGTAAACCCTTTAGACGTTTAGACCATAGCTACGCGAACGTCAATCTGACGTCTGCAGTCGATAATTGGATGAAATTCGCGATATTCTGAGATGGGTCGACATATTATTTAATTTTTCGTTACGGGATAACATTATCCTGAAATTATCGATGAACATGGATAAATCGGACCTGGATCATCTATAAATACTAGGAAAGAAATCATACATGTATCTTACGTGCACGATGCAGGTAAATACTTTAAATTGTGTTAAAAGATGAAGCAGTCCATTGCTACAATCGTTTGCAAGTATTGCCCATGAAACTTATTTTTCTGCAATACACAATCGATTGCACGTGGAATCTCTTTCCGCAATAAAACGACAACATCAATGATATTATCTACAATAATATAACGACTAATATAACTCTTATCGGTCAATGTAAAAAAATATATGATTAAACGATAAAATGAAGAGGTTATCCCGAGATATGGTACATGTCCATATATTATAATATTTTTAAAGAGAAAAGAAATATATTTTCATTTAGTATAATATAATATTCTGTTTATATAGA